TTTGCATTTTCATGTCTGGTGGTTTAATTATTTATATTAAAAATGTATAGTAGTTTGTATGGTGCCAAAAGTAAAATTTTAATTGTTAATAATAAATTAAAATTAAGTTTTGAAGAAAGTTAAAATACTATATTGAACAGTAGTAGTGTATTCTATAACAATGCTAAATATGTAAGATTAATTACATTTGTTCGAAAGAGTAAATATTATTCAACATAAATCGTTAATAGTTTCAAATTAGTCTAAATGTTTTTAAAATAGAATTCTGTATCGAAAATAATGATTTAAAAGCAAATCAACAAAATAGGAGTTGAAAAAATAACTAATGAGAATATTATTTTATTTTTGAGTTCATAAAAAATGTATGTGGCTACGTTGTCTTTTTATTTCTTATAAAAATTTATCGTGTTTTAAATTTTTAACAAAAAATTAACAAGAAAATCGTTAATTAAAGAACTTTTTACTACCAAGTAATTAGATATTTTCGTGATTTTGACGAATTTTTTAATTTCATAATTGTACTTAAAATATTATTAAATTTCAACAAAAAACAAATTAATTTTCTTTGTTTTTATTTGTTTTACCTATTTATGTAAGTAACTATTTTTTATTTTTTATCCTATTAAAATATCAACTAGATCGAATTTCTTGATATCCAAGTTAAAAATGGTGACATATACAAAATAAAATTTAAAAATTAATCAAAATCTACATTGTGTAAGACTGAATCGTTTAAGAATCTAATAAATTAGCTATATAGAGTTAGAAAACATCCAAGTATAAATTAATCTCAAAGTTTTATTCGAATTTAGATAATCAATTATGTTTCTCTACATGTTAAATGTTGGTTTTATTTTTAGTGTTCACTCTGTATCACTTTTTAAACTATTTTAATTGCTTAAAACTCTCTGGATACACGGGTACTAACTTTTAATATTATATCCTATATGTTCCTTTTTTTTTAAATTTCTTATGACCTTATAGGTTTTTTAATAATAACCTTTACCTACCTGCTAAATTAGATAATATATTCTAAAATAGATACCCAATACAACGTAAAACTGACATTTACAAGTTTACGGGTACGTGGTAAAGTGAATATAAGCAACTTTATATTAATAATAGTTAATGAATCATTTTATATTTGCATTTATAACAACTTCAAAATGTAAAATGATAAATGCGTTTAAATAGTGAGATAAATATTATTCCATATCAATAAAATATTAATACTGTCGTGTATAATATACCTTATGTAGTTATAATTAAATTACAATTTAAAATTTAAATATTTTCTGTCATATCTAAGTATACTTCTTTAATTACGTTTTTTGTTAGTTAATATTTTTAAAATTTATATGAACAAACCGTATATTTTTTCATTTTATAGCTCAATTCTAATTCAAATTTTATGTTTGGCATTTTTAATAAAATGCAAATATTATATTTAATATCTCTAAAAGGCTAAGCATTTAAGGTAATTTGAACGTGTATAAACGTGTTAGGCTATTCTTGAAACGAAGGAGAGAGTCATCATAGTATATATTTTAAGGTCGCATACAAAATGTAATAATGACAGATACTTTAAACCCGTTATCCTTTAACTTGATCATAGTATTCATCTTACTTTTGATGTTCTTTTCGATTTCTACCTATTATTATTTTCTTAAATTCTTACTAAGTACAACAAATAGGAGATTTACATAGTTAGTGATCTAACATTTTTCAATTATTGTTTAATTCATGTTAGTCAGGTCAAACTAAAGCATTTTATTGATCATGTTTATTTAAAATGTTTTCAGTTTTAAATAATGTGATCAAAATTTTCACTGCAATTGATTTTTAATCAATTTAAACAATTTTTTTCAGATCAGTTATAGAAATAATAGAATTAATGTGAAATTTATATTAGTTTTATTTTTTTTACTTATTCTAGTTATTTTTATGGCTACTTAACATTTAATTATAGGTTATTTATTTTCATATTTACATTTAAAATTGTCTTAAATTTATTGATTGTTGTCTAGTTAATGTAACATAACAATTCAATTTCTAACCTTATTCTAAGTATCATATTTTGTTATCATATTATTGAAAATGTTTAATTATTGTAAAATATGTTTGGTAAGGATTATCATTTTTAAAATGACAATTTTTTATGGTTTTGAGCGAAGCTTCCAGATGTAATTTTTTTTGTATATTAATAGATTTGTATGGTACTTCCTTATTAATCATATTTTAATGTGTATTTGTACTTCAAATAGGTATATATATTCTATAGACAATGTGGATTAATTCCCATTAAAAAGTCCTCTGTAATCACACTACCATATTGTGGGAAGTGAGGATGCATTTAATATATCTAGTCAATTGATTCTCATAACTTATTCATCGTTGTTATTATTACTTTGTTCATAATTATATGATCTTTTTTCACAGTTTAGAAGTATTTAAAATAGTTTAAAACTGAAAATATTAATGATTAAACACTAATAGATTAATCATTTATTTTTTGTTTTGTATGCGTATTTGGTAAAAGCTATAATTATTACCTTTCTATTTATTTATTATCAATTCAATTAAAATGGTATCAGATCCAGCTATGTATTAAGGTTTAAAATTTCAAGCAAAGCAGAAATATTAGTTTATATAGGTACTATAAAATATAATATCAAAACATTTTAATGATGAAAAATGACCTCATAAAAAACTTAAATGCTTTTTAGAATAGTTATTTTTCTGTAAAAGAAGACAATTTTACTTAAATTACATTTGGAGCCCGATTTTAAATTGGCTTTTAATGTTAAAATAATGTAATTCATAATTCTCAAAAATTGTGATTATTTAAATTTAATAAGAATTTCTGATTATAAAGTTACTTTTTTAAGCTCAATGCTATATAAAGTTTAATATTTCTACTTAAAAATAAATTAACTAAATTTTACTTCTTCTAAAGCAATAGATGTATTTTTATGAAGCACAGTTTAGCACTAAATATGCGAGTTCCAACAACCTTACCGAAAAATTTATAGGTACATGAAATAAATAGTATTTAAAGTTCCCTTTTCAGTAGGTACTTAAATTTCTCCAAATATCTATGAATAACAAAGGTTATTATTAAAATATTTTAGAAACAGTGTGTCAATATTTTTATATAATGATCAGTAGAAATTGGAAACTTTATGCATTGTATTTAAAAACTTAATATATACCTAGTAAATACTTAATACTGTCCTAGGCAATATTGTTATCAAGTGTTTTTAAATGTTTTTATTAACTTAATATTTCTTTGTTTTTTCTTACAAATACACATGACAGTCCCCTCCCCCGTATTGCTTTACTGTGTTAAGTTCTTTGTAACATTTAAACTGTAATTATACGAAACAAATCTAATCAAATAATCATAAATAGGTATGTATATTCTTATAATTGCATTTTACCCTTATTTTTCGTGAAGTACAGTCGTACAGTGGTTGAATACTCACAACCATCGTTCTATAACGAAATCGACTTCCAGAATTGACTGTTCTGTATTGCAAGTTGGACTTAGAACATCTGCTGTGTGCGATTTATTTTTCTTATGTGAAAACGAGAGATGAGATTACGATAACGCGTCATACCACGTGTATTGCAAAAATAGAAACAATTGTAAAACACGAATTTTTGTAACTCTAACTTCGCAATAGTATCTATCATGATATCAGTATTGGGTGAGTAGGTTAAAGTATGGTTTGTTTTTATCGAAAAAAATTCTTTAAATTGACATTTGAGGAAGGGGTTTAATGTACCGACAAATCTTTAAAAATGGTCGAGTTTGGTGTGAATAATACTCCTGAAAATACTTTTACCATTTTCCCTGTATGGTATAATAATAAAATATAAAGTAAAATATGTTATTGAAATATTTGAAATATAATCACAAATATAGTAATTATTAGTTATGTTTGAAAGCAATTAGCGACAGTAAAGGTGTTTTACACTGTGTCGTTTATATTTTAATACATCGTGGTGTTCATATCCCAGTGTTTTAATTGATTTAATTATGCTGCTATTTTTTTAATGTACCATATTACCAGGTGTTGTTGCCTCGTTGAAAATATTAAATTTGTCGACGTCTGGTTACAGTGGTCAAATGGTTATCAAATATTACTATTGATAAAAATAAATTATTTAAAATATGGAAGGTTATACTGACCAACCTTCAACCAGGGTCTAAGTAATTTATGTCTTCCAAGATAATGTGATCAAACTAACAACCTTAACTATAAAGCAGTTTTATTGTTTGCGGTTAACTACATATTGTGGTGGTAGCTGATAAGTGATAACAATACTACGGTGACGGTGACCAAAAATTGATGTAATGCGTCGTAATAACTGATAGTATATTTACTATTACAATTAATTTAATGGGTCGCATAATATTTGAATGGTTAAAATGTTATCCAAAATTATTAATCTTATCGGTACGATTTTACTTTGTAGATTTGCCGCACATCTTTTTTTATTTTTTTAAACGCACTCGAAATCTGTATGTATACGACGCGCGTATTTGTGTGTGTGATTTAGTATTTTTTCGTTTTATCTCTACGTCGTCGTTTCAAATTTCTCTTTGGCCCGTCGTCGCGCGCGTTAAAAACCCGATCTATCCGATTGCGGTTTTTATTCGCATGAGTTTCGTTTTTCTTTTCGCCTCCGCGTGTGTCGCGTACGCCGCCCGCGCTCGTTCTCTTGCCCTTCGGTATGCTCGACTCCTCACCACCATTACCACACCGGTACACGACGTGTATCATAATAATAATTTACAATAATAAAAATAATAATGCGGTGGCGACGGCGGCGGTAATACTTGTACACTGTATAACTGAGTAGTATTAGAATAGTAGGCGGCGGCGTGTTTTTCCCCGCTTTCTCCTTCCGCCGTCGCCTTCGTCCGGTACACAGCGCTCGCTCGACCGCCGGTAACGCCGCGCTCCTCGCCTCACTAGTACGCACTACACACACTACACACACGGACGCGCCGCGCGCCAGTTGCGTCTGTACATACGACGGCCGTACTCGTCGGTCGACCATCGTGCGTAGTGTCGCCGCCGCTATTTCCTCCGATTTCGCTGTTATTACTATTACTACTACTACTACTACTACTACTACTATGGTTGTTGTAGTCGCGTGTGAGTGAGCGTAGCGTCGAGCCTGAGCGCGCGCGCCTCGAGTGAGAGTGCGAGCGAGACCGATCGAGTGCGTGTGACGTCTGTGTGAGCGCGAGCAACGCCGCTGCGAGTGCGCGCGCCGTGTAGAACGCGATCGTACGAAAATGGCGTCATCGTCGCGCGACAGCGAGCCCGGGAAAACGATGTCGTCGCGCCACCACAAATATTCGTCGAGAATCGTGAGTAAAACTCGAATTATTGTTACCGCGATTTGGGGGGGAGAGGGTCCGTTTGGCGGTGTACGCTCGCGCGCGCGAGAGCGTCCGTGTCCTACGAATTCCCCGCGCCTAAATTCTATTGCCTAAAAAAATTTTGTTCCTAGGGGTACTTGCTTACCTTAACACACGTGTCGACGTCGTTTGTGGGTAAACGTTTCCAAAAATCTCTTTCATATTGTATACTATTTTCCATTTTTTTTCTTTCGATCTCTCGTCAGGTGAACAGAACGATTTTAGTGTTGGAAAAACCAGATTATGCTGTAATTTGTTTACCATGTAGTATATTCTCTGTTGGTTTCGATCCTGCTGCGAAATAAATGTGCTTGATATATCGCCTGCCTGGTGTTAAACGATTTTCACGGCGACACAAGGTAATTTCCGTTTAATGTCGATACATCGTATTGTAGTGTACCATACGCAATTCACGACGTCGTTCACACACCTGTTCATCGTCGTTTATACAATTTAATAAGTGCGCATGTACACACCCATTATACAATATCGTGTTCCGTTATTGCTGAAAACTGTATTTTATTTTTTTCGAGTTTATTCCAATTCTCGTAGTAAATATACATATACATTGCTGTAACGGGTTGAATCGCATCAATATTATTACATTTACAAATACTATATCTCTTGATTTATATAGTATAGATAGATAAAGAATATTTATGTATTATGCATTATGCTTAAAGCTTGTTATTTGTATAAAACTAACTAATACAATAAAATTATTACTTGGTAAATCAAACTATGTTTTGACAACGAGAAATTTAGTAATGGAATTCGAGCACATACATTAATGTGTATCCATGTGATCAGTCCACGTGCAAGCCGGTTTTATGGCTTCTTTGTATCCCTCGACTGAGCATGTTGAATTAATTTTTGGGTTTCTTTAGTGTCCGCAGTGCAATTTGTTTATATTAGTAGCATACTATTTTCTAACAATGGCTTTGTAATAATAATATATAGGTATTTTATGTTTAAATCTTTAGCGCGCGAAATGTGTAACCGAATTATAGGTCGAGTTAAACGCGTGATTTATCATGACATTATTAAACGTCTATCTGGACGCATTCAATTATATCAGCAATGTCTTGTTAACTTAAATTTGACTGATGACTTCGAGTTTAAACAAAGGTATTGCAAAATTAAAACTAATGGTTTCGCTAACACTACTCCAGAGCATTTCGTTCGAATGAGTCGAGTTTGATAGTAGCCTTTAGACATTAAATTATCATAATTTAACTTGCCTATTATGTGTTATTGTCTCAAGCTTCTAAAATTGTATTTATTATAATAACTTCTATGATACAATTGTGTTTGGATTGTATATCAGTTTTAATAATGGCTCGGTAATATATATTTTATGTTTAAATCTCTAGCGCGTCAAATGTGTAATCGAATTATGGGTCGAGTTAAACGCGTGATTTATCATGACATTATTAAACGTCTATCTTGACGAATTCAATTATATCAGCAATGTCTTTATTAACTTAAATTTGACTGATGATTTCAAGTTTAAACAAAAGTATTGCAAAATTAAAACTTAATGGTTTCGCTAACACTACTCTAGAACATTACGTTCGAATGAGTCGAGTTTGATAGTAGCCTTTAGACATAAAATTAATTGTAAATAACTTAACTTGCCTAGCATATTATGTTGTATCAATCTTCTGAAATTTTACTTATTATAATAATTAGTTTTATTGATACGGTTGTGGTTGGATTATGTCATAATAACCTAACGTTCAAAGAATCATGGTTAAGGTTAGGTAGTACTCTGTACTTAGTAGAAGTGTAAAATATTTCGTACTTAACCAGTAGAATTTTCGCTACTAATATTCCTTAGTTAAGTTCTCGCGTGAATATATTATAAACAACTTTGTTCACTCGGCAATGATGTGTGTAGATAAACGAATTCGATGCGCAAGATTTCCGTTCACATAGGTTTTATTTCAAATATATTTAAATTTAATAAAAATAAAATAAAACAACACTCGGAGATGAAACTTATATATAACACTGCTGCGGCGTAACAAATCTGCGATTATTCGTCGTGAAAGGCGTGCATTCGTCTGCGTTGTTGTAGTCTATCCTTTAACACCGTGTCTCGTTGCAAATAAATATTGTGATACGATGTTATACGATGCCAATGTCTTAATATATAATATACATGTATTGTTTTAATGTCCCTAACCAGGGATAATTGATATTGTTTAAAGAACTGTGGGTCATTATTTTTTTAACCTTGTAGGTATTACTGTTAATGGCGAATTAAAAAACTGTCGCGTTTTGTTTATAATATTAAATTATTAACACAACATCAAACGTAGAGTAATTTTACGCTTTCCGTAATGTGATTTTTTTTGTTCTCGAGCCAGACTGAACGACCGATTCGTTGTTGCTTATGTTCCTCGTCGCGCTCTCTGCTACAGTCGCGTCGACTGGTGTGTAGCAGTCTGCGTGGTACGCGGCGGAGTACATGACGTAGTTGTCTGTTTCCGGCTTGGCGGTAAAATAATGCCGCGGCCGACTCGTATGATTGAGAGAACGATCGAGACACCGGAGATGATTGTTAAAAATTTTCTTCGTTTATGGTAAATCAAAAACCCTATGATCCTCGATCCATGAGTACTTCCCCACTACCTCTCGATATCTACGTTTTAGTCAGTTTTAGTTTTATGCACTACGACGGGCTGGCAATTAAATATTATATTCCTTTTTAATTGTGATTCGATGTTTGACGACACATATTTGCGGTACACAAAATCGATTATGATTCGATTTTATTATATTCCAGCCGATCTTATTATCAGTATTTTATTTTTATCGTTCATGTGTATCACATTAGTAATAATTCATTATAATGACTTTCAGGTGGGTGGTGTGGCAGGTATATGTACATCTCTTTTTCTGTTGGATCATAATATATTGTGTGTATGGTGTCCTACGTTTTTGGTCGAGCCAACTGTTAGGCAATCTCAACGAATGATATTAAATTCTCATACTGACGTGAGATTCGTGAACTTTAATCTGTGCATAACAGTAGTAGTAGTTACTAGTATTGTCTAATTGTTAAAAATATATTATCTTGTTTTCTCCTACTTAGTTTTTAAACTCAGGCGGGCGGTAATGTCAACTGTAAATAATAAATTTTAAACGCGTATTTCGATTACGAAACGAACTTATTCGTGTATTGTACGTGTTGTCTGATTTTTATCATTTAAACGTGTTCGTACAGCCCCAAATTCCGGTCGAAACTCTGAACATCAATTTATTCGGGGTCATCTCTTTTGGCAAAGTCTAATTGGGTGACCTTATTTTTATTTTATTTTTTTGCTATCGATTTTTGTACATACCTACATGGTTACGTGTATCAGTAACACCACGGTCGGTCACCTTCCATTTCTAAACTTTGAATTAACATTTAATTTAGAATCGTTTCGATCATTTGAACGTTAAAAAAGAATTGAAAAATTTGTGGGTAGTTGATTTAATATATTAAATATTTAATATCACTGTTCCATTCATTCAAAAAATGTTAACCTAAATAGCGGTAATCATACATAATTAAGACATCTATCTTTAAACTTAACAATTTAATTTCCTATTAATTTTATTACATACAAATAATACGATCATTGCAGGATATTTATATTTAAATCCAGTAGCATAGTTCTTATAAATATAGTAAGTGTAATTAACACAAAATAAATGTTGTACCTGACATAATTTTTGCTTAAAGATCATAGTTTACATTATGCCTATGTTATGGTTGGTTGTGTTTAATGTTAGACTAAATATTATAAAACAAAATATGATAATCTACAAAACTTTGAATTTAATGCCCTGTAAATATGTTCAATATATAAAAAAATTACTTTACATTAAGTATAAAAACTTAAAAACATTATTGAATATTAAATGTTAATAAAAATATTTGTTAAATAAAGACAATAGTGATCTGTATCTAATAAGCAAATATCAAGTCATTAGCTGTATGACAATTAATATTTTTATATGCTCACATATTTTTATTCATTGACAAGGACTATGAAGTCAGTAATCTAAAAAAAGTTTCCTTTAAAATAAAACTTTAAATAATAATAAATATTTTTGATGAAACATAAAATAAAAATATTTGGCTTTTAAAGGTAACTGATATTAATCTGTAAAAATAAAAAATATTTTTTTATTGTAATAATAATTTTATTATTGAAATATTTGTCAAGCAAAATTTTACATAAAATATTTTTTAAAATTTTTATTATGGTTTACAGAGAACACGCAAAGAAAAGAAAACATATTCAGAAGATTGGGCATATGGTGATGAAGAAGAAATTGAAGGTGTACGATCTTTTAGTTTACAAGAAAAGCTTGACTCCACTCGTTATTTAAATCACAGCTTTGTTAAACAGATGGACGGAAAAGGCATGATATTTACAGTTTAAACTTTTAAACAATTTTTTTTTCTTAGTCATCATTTTAACATATTTTTTTTAGATTTTACAATTTCGTATCTTCAAAAACATGGTTTTATTATACCACTATTATTCAAGGATAAAACTGGTCTTGGATTACATGTTCCTAGCCCTAATTTTTCTGTGAACGATGTTCGTACATGTGTTGGTAAGTAAAATGTGGTTTAAATTAAGTTATGAATAATTATAGTTCATATTAATATATATTAATTAAATCACAACAACAATTATTTATTTTTATGATGTTTATTAAATAACTTAAAATTATTTATCTGTTAATGAAATTACTACAACTACATTTTGAAATATTTAAATTTTAGCATATAGGTACTAAGTGTTTGCTTAATATACTTTAAGTAAAGTAATTCCATATTTTGACAAGAATTTTTACAAATTAATAACATTTATACTAAGTGATTAGAAATTTTAAATTTTGTTATTATAATATTTGATGAATATTTTTACCCATTATATTTTACTATAATTTTGGGTTTTTATTTAGGTTCGAGAAGAATGTTAGATGTTATGGATGTTAACACACAAAAGAATTTTGAAATGACTATGAAAGAATGGACTAAGTATTATGAAGAACCGGTGAAGGATAAGCTTTTAAATGTTATTTCGCTTGAGTTTAGCCACACAAAGCTTGAAAACTACATAAAGCGTCCTAATATTGTATGTATACTTTCCATTATTAACTACTTGTTTAAAAAAATTTATAATTCTATTATTATAATTTATAATTCTCAACATATTAATTATTTTGTAAATATAATATTGGTATTTATTATTTGTAAATTAATATTTATTTAAGTCAAATTATATTTAATATATTATTAGAGTGAATTATAATTGTTTTTTTATTATAATATCCTATTGTTAATAATATATTCAATTATTAATAGTGTTGTTTATTTATGTAGGTCCGAGAATTGGATTGGGTTGATTGTGTGTGGCCTAAACATTTGAAAGAAAGTCAAACAGAATCAACTAATGTCATAGATGATATGATGTATCCAAAGGTTCAAAAGTATTGTTTAATGTCTGTTAAAGGTTGCTATACTGATTTTCATATAGATTTTGGTGGTACTTCAGTTTGGTATCATATACTTAAAGGAAGCAAGGTAGAAATTATCTATTTTTATTTAATAAATTGTGTCTAATGAATTATTAATTTTTAGGTATTTTGGTTAATACCACCAACTGAACAAAACATCAAACTATATGAACAATGGATACTGTCTGGCAAGCAAGGTGATATATTTTTTGGAGATACAGTAGAACAGTGTGGACGTGTATCATTGAATGCTGGAGATACATTCTTTATACCTACTGGTTGGATTCATGCTGTTTATACTCCCAAAGACTCTTTAGTATTCGGAGGGAACTTTTTACATTCTTTTGGTATTGAAAAACAGCTTCGTGTTGCTGAAGTGGAAGAATCTACTAAGGTTAGTTATTTTGAGTTATATATTAATTTTTATTAAAACTAATATAATAAAATTGTTTAGGTTCCTCAAAAGTTTAGGTATCCATTTTTTACTGAAATGTTGTGGTATGTTTTGGAGCGTTATGTTTATTGTGATTTGGGTAAGTCTCATCTTACAGAAGGCGCTGAAAGTTCACCTGCACCAGTTGAACATATACATTTCACTAAACAGGTAAAATACTGAATATTAAGGTAATAATTAAAAAAAAATAATCAAGTTTTTAATATTGTACAGGAACTTCATGGAATAAAAGCAATAGTGAGATATTTGCATGTTTTGCCACCAAATAAAAAAAATGTTCCTCCTCTGATCAAGGATGCTATTGAATTAATAAGAAATGTAGCCATTGTGATAAATAAACATAAGAATGACAAACCTGAAGATGCTATAAGTGGAAAACCAATTCTTAAAATTCAAGGAGACAAGGTATGTTATTGATTATAACCATAAATATATTAATTCTATTAAAATTTAACTTTTTTTTATAGGAAAGAGAAAGAAGGTTTTATAAAACAGCTGGTGATATGAATGCCAAAGTAAAAACTTTAAGAAAAACAGCAACTGGTTCAGGTCCTAGGAGGAGGCGTACAAGATGTAAAAAATGTGAAGCTTGTAAACAAGCCGATTGTGGAGAATGTTCGTTCTGCAGAGACATGGTTAAGTTTGGTGGACCTGGTCGTGCTAAACAGACCTGTGTTATGCGTCAATGTTTGCAGGTACATTTTATACTGATTACTATAAGTGATTTTCATAATCTATCAATTTATTTTTATTTTTATAGCCCATGTTACCTATAACTGCAGCTTGTGGAATTTGTTCATTGGATGGCTGGGGTCAACAAATTATTATTCCTATACAAAAAACAGCTAAAGATACTCCTAGCCAACTTATGGAATGTAGTGTATGCTTTGAAATTGTACATCCAGACTGCCTATTAAAACAAGTAAATATCAAATGACAATAACTAAAGGGTTGGCAGGAATAATGTGCTAAGTTTGAGAAAATGTAATCTAATATTAACTAATAGTTCTAAACTGTTATTAATGTTTTACCACATGTTAAAAATAATTTAAAATAATTATGTTACATTTTTTGTTTTTAGTTACTGAAAAATTTACAAATCGGTATATTGCATGTTATTCCTGTCTACTTTTTTTTTTTTTTATTGATCTTATTTAAGCCCAGCAACTAAGGCCATTAGCTCCTGTGGATAGGAACAGTAGGTTATTTGTGTAAGGTTTGTTAAATTTTTGGATAGTACGGTTAGAATACGTGTGTGCATGTGTGAGTGCCATAGATTCATAACTAAGAACTTAGGTGGTCACTCATCCAAGAGCTAGCGACGCTGGCTGATGCTTGACTTCAGAACACGTTAGTGATTGAGACAACAACTGCACCACACTAGTCCATTGTTTACTTTTATTAATTGTTCAAAATTCAGATTAATTATTTGTATACAGTATGTCCTAAAAGTATCCTGTATCACCCTTAATTTCTCTATAGGAAATCAATATATTAAAAACGTTTTTTTTTTTCAGTACTACTAAGTATAGAATTCTGATTGAATGGCATATAATTTAAAATTTTAATAATATTTTTATGCATTTGAGAATTTTAAATTTTAAAATTAAACATTTGATTTGAATAGAAATACAAATATAGTCCGTTTAAAATAAGAAACGATGGCGGCAACCAATTTTTGACAGCGGCTGACAGATGTTTCCTCCACCGTGCATCTATTTTACCGACGGCGACCGTTGTTGACGTATTAATGTTTGTTGTAGTCTGTAGAATTAGGTCTACTTCGGAATTCGGTCTAATCTATTTAATTTTAAGTTATTTGTTCGCATCACTGGTTAACAATAGAATGAGGAAACGCTCTCGCTGGCAACAGTGTCAAAGCTCGACATTCGTAGTGAGGCCACGCCCATGCGCAGTAGTCTGCCGCCGTCTACGTTTCTTATTTTAAATGGACTATATAGTTGTGTTTTAACTTTAATTAGGTATGTAAAAGTATTGTCATGCTGAAATTAATATTCTATTATTGATTTGTGAAACAATTTATTTTTTTGAACTGTTTTAAAAAATATGTTAAACAAAATGGCTATCCTTAAAATTTAATTCTTAAATGCATAAAAAACTTTGACAACTTAATTTTTATTTAAAAAATTTGAATTTTGTGTCATTCAATCAGATTTTCCATATTTAGTACTGTAAAAAAGTAAAAAAACCATGTTTAATATATTGATTTTACGTGAAGATTTTAAGGATGATATGGGATTTTTGGAATATACTATATATAAATGAAACTCCTGAGTGCCTAATTACTGGTTCATTATGAATGCAGAGCCAAACCTATTAAAGCTATTAATTTGTTTTTTTGATGGTAAATTAATATAATTTCACTGCACTAGGAAAGGTTTTTTAAAATTTTAATTTTAATTAAGGGGTTGAAATTAGTCAAAATAAAATTTTAAGTGATAATTTTACATTTATATACATTAATGATTAAGTGGTTATAAGCTGTGAGCCTCTTTAGCTCTCATTTTCAGGCTCTTTTTCATAAAAACATTTTTATGTGGCATTCTCTCCAGAGTTAGTACGTCTAAAAGTTAAGTAGTTTTGGCACTAAATGGAAATACATCAAATGCAGTTAATAAAAAAGTTTTATAATTGAATAGTTCTCATAAATTATTTTTTATTATATCCCTATTAAATTTTTGCTGTTAACCCCCCACTAGTTTATTTGTGTATGTTCTTAACTAAAATAAAAAAAATACATTATTTTTAGCCTGTGTTTACTAATGTTGGTACTTACAATGAAGATTTACCTAATAGCTGGGAATGTCCCAAGTGTTGCAAGGAAGGGAAGAATTTAGAAAGCAAGGTAAGAATTTTTTTTTTAATTTCAAGTAATTTTCCAATATTTTAAATACTTTATCATTGTCATAGCCCCGTCATTTTCGTGCTAGACAAAAATCGTCAGATATTCGTAGAACTTCTGTCAGCAGTAATGACACTAATCCTCAAAAACGTTATAAAGTAAGTATATATGTGGTTATTAAAAATATTATCTGAGTTTTTTTATTTATTTAAAAATAATTAATTATAGGACGATGAAGAATATAGTGATACAAATTCTGAAAGCGATCTAGACAACGTTTCTAATAAAAGACTGAAAATTGAGAAAAAAGAAAATTTATCAACGGAACGTTCACCACCTTTGCCTTCAACGGTAAATATATTTTTATTTATTTTCTGTAATTCACAGCTTTTTAATTTAATTTTTAATTAGTGAACTGTACATTACTGTGTTTTGGTTTGCATATTGCATATTGCATTTTTTTTTTTTTTTTTAATTTTAGTAAGCATGTCTTCTAATACAAATAATGTAAAATAAAATAAATTAATAAATAATAAAATACTTACCTAATTCATAAAAAAATTATAATATATTTATATTTATAATAAATAAAATATCCTATATTAATGTAATTTAACGAATACATTATTAGTTTTAAAATAAATACATTGGATTAAATTATGGACATTATAATCAACAGCCTTGGTAGAAAATAAAGGGTGTGATGATCAACTTTTATTATTTAAACTGGTACTCTTCTTTTATGCTATTTACTGAAACCTATTGCGTGCCATGATGTGAGATAAAATTAAGTCATCTAGGCTCCTTTTTGGTTTAAATTGAATTCAGTTTATCATCTTAATATGTTTGACTTACATCAGTTGAATCTCAAATAGTGTGAATGATACAATGATAAGGTATATTTTTTATCAACTTGATAGTGTATATTAAAAATTACCAGTTGTACAGAATACTTAGTGAACACAATTCTAGTTTATAGTATAGTGCTTTTCACGATAGAACGGTACTGTTTCGCGCATGTAGAATGAGTTCCTTCGTCTTGTCTAGCTGAAAAATCCCTACTACCCAGTTTATTATTACCGATAATTAATGACAATTACTGACCTGTTTGTTGGGCGCTGACATATATCGTCAACTTTGTGGTTTTAGATGGGGATGTGCGGCGGCGACCAATTTTGGTCGGAGCACGGTACCATTCTCTCATGAATAACACTATAGGTATTAATTATCTGTTAAGTAACATAATGTATGAAATTTTGATATTATATGGGTATAAATATGATGAGTGGTATAAATTTCAGTATATTTCTCACATTAGATCCTAAAAACTGCCCATGGTATATTCCTACCTACTAACTTGGTATTATAAATAATATAGTGGGTAAGTATGTTGGTACAGTGAAACCTTATGTGAATGGGCATATAAAAGGAGTTCAAACTTTTTAATAGTGGATATGGACACTAAAAACTGGTACAAACATTATAAATTACCTCTCATTAATGGACAATACATGTACTATATTAATCTTTATAAATTTCATTCATATTTTATCTTGAAGGTATTTTTTTTTCTAAAAATGAAATAGTTAGGTGTTATGTGTTCATTCATCAATTTTGTGCTGCACATTATTGTGGGTATGTACCCATGTTAAAATTTTTATACTCATTTTTTACTATATTTATATAAATTAATATTTTAATATAATATATTTATTTCATTGTATGTGTGTATATGTATATATTTATAACTAGTTCTCTATAGCATTTCCCAATAGGCTATAGTGGGCATTTAGTAATTTCTTGAAATGTACGATATATAGAGGTTCTCAATGGTGGTCAACTTCCTATAATGGAAATTTTTTAATTTTCTATGGTTGTCCGTCCACTACATAGAGGTTTCACTGTATCACCAAATTATCAATAAAAGAACACAGTAGTACCCCTTTCAGTCCATGCCTAGGTAGCATGAAAAACTAAAATCAATGCAGTATGTAGAATTTATAAAATAGGAACTAAAAATAATCATGTTCTACTTAATAATACTGTTAAAATAATATGAAATTTTTTTTTCAAAAAAAAAAAAAAAAAAAAAAGAAATGGAAATTTAATTATTGTTACTTCACTTTATTTTGGTATTAATTCTGATGAGATTTTTGAATATAATTAATTTTCCCTAAATCATCTAAGAAAAATTGTATTACATTCGCAAACCATTACATTGATATTATTATTTAAAATAATTCTAATGATTATTTGATTAAATTTTTTGTTCCATGTGGAATTCAGTTCATTATTTATTTTTGATAATTAAATTCTTAATTTTTAATTTCTAAAAAGACATTTTATTTTATTTAAATAAAGGTTATGTTAGATTATTTTAACTTAGGTTGGTAAAATTGTTTCATTATGTTTTATAAAAGGCTTTACTAACTTACAATTATTGTACAAAAACTGCTTTCACATACACTAAAATAATTTTACTATTTTAATATGATTGGTATTAATAAATTACTGATATTTGTAATTAAATGGCCTTGCATCAAACCACATTTGTATCCACTATAATAATATGTATTAAACAATGAACAGTAAACATATGAACTAAAGGTGTAATTCATTTCCAAGTTATAAATTATTAATAGTTTGAATTTATTTCCCTCCTGATATAATATTCTTTTATTTGATTTTTAACCTGAATCAATAAAAGTTAAAAAAAATTGATGCATGTAATTTTTACTAAAATATTGTGTTCTTATATTTACACTATTAGGCTAGAGTTTCACTTACCAACTGGCATTCATCTGGCTGTGCAGATTTTTTAAATAACGCTTAAATAACTACACCATTGGTAAAAACTTCTTGAAAATAATTTGTATTGTTTTAATAAACTAGTTTTCACTGCTTATATGTTATACTAAATTGATATTGACCAGGTATTAAAAAAGTATTGTATGATTTTTTTTTTATTATATTGCTTAAAATTATTTGAGTAAATTGTCATTTTGTTAAAACATAATATTTTAAATTTATGTTTATTTTGTTAAATTAATTTTTTTTCTGATTTTCCTTAATTTATACTATTGTTTAATTTATCATAATATATGAATTTCTAAATACGAATTTAAATGTGTGCTATTTATTTCTTTTTTAAATTCTGGACAAAGCAAAGATATATTTTTATGAGTAATTAAACTATATTTAGGATGCTGATAGAAATTTAAAATAAGCTCTCAAGTTTTATTTAGACTTATTTTTGGCTGTAAAATAAAATTGTTAATTCAATGTTTTCATTAATTGATTGAAGTAAAGAAAAACTATAAAATGAATGTGAAATTTACTCAAATTAGTTTCAGTAATTTTCTGGGTATTTGTTAAAAAAAAGTATTCTACAATTTGGGTTAATTTATAGTATACAATTTTTAAATTAAATTACCTATCCTAGAAGTTTATGTTATAGTATCTAGAAATGTAATAATATAATCGTGATTTTTTGGATCTCTTTTTAATAGATGATTTGATATTTTGATAGTTATAAACTTCTCCTCATTGCAAATAACATAGGTACAATTTAGTATGATTTGTTTTTTACATTTCTTAATTACTATATTTGAATCTTAGGTATTTAAATTATTTTTAAATTCTTTAAAGCTAAGTATAAACTAGCTCTGTTCAGAATTTTTTTCATCATTATTTTTAAGTCTTATGATACCTATTTAACATAATCCTACACTAAAATGAATAATGAAATTGATTTTTAAGCTATATTTATATGTATCGTGTACTGATTTTATTTGTATTCTTTTATTGTATGGACATGAGAATTTTATGGTTATACCATGTACTTGTGATTTTGTGTATTCGCCTATTATTTTTTGAATCCACATATTTTCTTGTTTCCTATTTAGATTACAATTTCCCGGTTGTGTTATTAATGGTATTTAAGATAATGTTTTTTAGTTGAAAATGTATTCAATTGATGAATACTTGATAATAATAGTATTTTATTTTGCTATACATTTATCATATATTTTTTTTTTTTTTTTTGGCTTTAGCTAGTCAATTAACTATTATTTTAAGTTAACTGTATATATATAATTAAAGTATTTTAGTTTTCAATTTTTTATTCCCCCCCCCCTCCCAAATAATGACTTAATTTATTTGTAAAACAATATACTAAACTATTTTATTTTAACCTTTCTCCATTTAACTGGAAGTTTTTCACTAAAATATCTTATGCATGATTGATAAGCTTGGTTTCTGACTATGTGTTGTTTATTGCTATTCAGTTTGATTAAAATATATTTTAATTTTCGCTTCATTAATAATGCAGATCAAGAAGAAAATGAAATGTTTGTACAATATATTTTATCCCAATTTTTTGTTATGGTATTAAATATGATTATGTCTCATCCGGTTTGGTTCTTTTATGGGTTACAATATTGTTATGTGCTTACAAAATTATGCACGGAATTAAACTTATTAAATTTAAGACGTTGGAAGCAGATGAATGGTACAAGTAAGTTTAAAAAACTCGCGCGAATCAATCACTTAAGAGTTATTGCAAAATGAGATTGCGCTGTAATGGTTATCAAGTTTAGTGCGTAATATCGATAACAACCGTGCTTTTTTAAACGAGCGTTTGGTGCAGTATACAGTTTATTAAATGCTACATGCAGGAGGTATTGTTGTACGTTGACTTGTGTTTTAAATTTTGTGTTTTTTTTTCGCGTTCGTTTAAAAACTTGTTTTATTTTTTTTTTTGAAAGTTTTTCGATAAGATATTTATTTTAAAGTACGTAACCGTCCTGTGTTTTGTAAGTTAAAAAAAAATTCTTCGTTGTGTTAATTTTATTCATATCCGATATTTGACATTTGACGTATCCATTATCATCAGACTTCAGCTACCACACCATGTACCGCGCGTAGTTAGTCGAGTCGTTTTAATAATATATAATACATACAAATCATTTACTTAATTTTTTTCGGGGTTTCGAATTTTTACATAATATTTTTTTTTTCGTAAAGTAAACACAATATTTCGTTTGATATTTTTTTATAGAGATGGATGGAAGAACATTCTATGAAAGTGTTAAATCGTTCTGTCAAAGTCGAGGAGGCCCATATGTCAACGTACAACAACACCACCACCACAACTATCACCACCACCACTACCACTACCACAACCACAACAACAACCAACATAACCACCACCTCCACGCCCGCCAGCATCGTCGTTGTCACTCCGTCAATTGCGGAGCCGCTGCCGCCACCGCAATCGTCACAGGTGTCGCGCAAGATCGATTTACGTAAACAGCTGGCCAGCCAACTGTCCGGTGGTTCGGGTAAACACTGCAACGTGCTTAAGAAACAGTCTTACGTGTCGAAACCAGTCAAAGGCGGCGCGCACAAGTCTCAGTCGGCCGGCCATAAGTCCCAATCGGGCGGACAAAAGTCGCAGTCAAGCGGACAGTCTCAAAGCGGCGGTAACGCAAACGGTTATCACCAACACAACAGTAACCACAACCACAGCAGCGGTAGCAGCAGCAGCAGCAGCAACAGCAACAACCACCACCATCACCACAACAGCAACGGCACCAATTACTGCGGGGACGCGGCGTGCATGCTTCCGGTGTTCGAGTACCTGACGCCCGCCGAGCTGGCCAAGTGCGCGTTGGTGTGCCACGCCTGGTCCACCATGTCGATGGACCCGTCGCTGTGGCGCAAGCTGGACGTGACCGGCAAGCGGCTGACCGCGTCGTGCCTGGCGGGCGTGGTGAAGCGACAGCCCGAGGTGCTGCTGATGGACTGGACGGCCATCGCCAAGCGGCAGCTGGAGTGGATGGTGGCCAAGCTGACCCGGCTGAAGGTGTTGTCGCTGCAGGGCTGTTCGTGGAGCGGCGTGACGGCGCTGCGCAGCAGCAGCGTCGTGCCGCCGTCGCTGACCGCGCTCGACCTGAGCTACGTGACCGGCATGACGGACGCGTCGCTCCGGGACGTGCTGTCGCCGCCCTCGGACTCGCGGTCGTCGTCCAACGACAACACCAACCGCGCCCGGTTCCGGAACCTGCGCACCCTCAAGCTGGCCGGCGTCGACATCGGCGACGTGTCGCTCCGGTACGTGGTGCAGTACGCGCCCAGCCTCGTCGAGCTGGACCTGTCCCAGAACTCGCGGATCACTGACGCCGGTATCGCGCAGCTGACCACGCCCGTCGGCAACGCCGTGTCCACGCTCCAGGTGCTCGACCTGTCCGGTTGCGTGTCCGTCACGGACGTTTCGCTCGACCACCTGCTCAAGTGCACCGCCCTGCGCCGGTTGGACATGAAGCAGACGCCCAGCGTCACCACGGCGGCCATCAACCGGTTCCTCGCGACCAACGACCGGTTCTCGGCCACCGACACCCGGTTGTTGATCAAGTGCCCGGACTCGCCGACGCCGCTTCCGCCGACCACGCCGACCGGAAGACGCGATTCGACGGGCAGCAGCAGTTAAGACGAGGAGGAGGAGTAGTAGTAGGAGGTGGACGACGTCGTCGACGGTGGAGAGAAAGTGAGAGCGACGAGTGTGGTGGCGGCGGCGGCGCGTCGTCGCGTAACCGCACGCTGTGTGTTTGATAACACGTTTATAGTGCGAACAGACCGTCGTGTGAAAACCAAGTCAACGACGACGACGGACGACCACTCGTCGCCCCGACGTTCCCATATTTTTTTTTTTTTAGTAGTAGTTAAAAAAATGTAAAACTGTAAATTTTTTTTTTTTAGCAAGTGTTTCAGATTATTCTATTAAGACGTGTGTTTTTTTTTGTTTTTTCTTAAATCTATATTTTATACGCCGAAAGGGGCATTTCCTCGGAGTTTTTTTTTTTGTTTTCGTATAACATTTACGCGTAATATATAATATGGTTTATTATTAATTGTTTTCGGTATAGTGCCCGATAGTATTATTTGTGTTTTAGAGCATACATCCACGTCTGGGGGACGGTTTTGGATTATCTGACGGCTCCCGGCAAGGCGGCACGGTGTGTAAAGAATTTTTTTTTTTTCTCTGCGTACGTATAATGCTTCCGTACTACTACGACGACTACGTTTTTTTATCGATGAAAGACAATCTCTTTTCACGGGCGTTCACGCTCGCTTAATTTAAAATGTTCTTTTTCCGATTAATTTTTAGACCTTTTTGGGGGAATTGGTATTTTTTTTTTCTACGTTCATCGAGACGTCATCACAATTTTACTATATTATTTTTAAATTATATAAAACTAAAAAAAAGATAAAGACTGAAGTTGTTTTGTTGTTTGTATTACCGTTAGTTTTATAAGTATTATATTATATTTTGCAATCAAACGCGTATTGTGACAGGTGTTCGGAGACACTAGTCGACTGACCGTCAGGTGGTTTGCAAGTTAATTTATAAACTAAGCGAAATTTATCATTACTCGACACTTTAAATCAACCATGATGTTTTTTTTTTGTATTTAAATTATAAATATTTTTTGACTGTATTTATTATTTTCCTTTTTTTTTTTGTATTGTATTTTGAATAAATTATCCATGTATTAAATTGACTTAACATTTTTTTACTTGTCACGTCATAAAATAACCTTTTCTTTCTGCCCTTTCTCGTTAAATCAGTTTCAATCTAGTTTTCTAACGTTCTATAACATTTGTGTTTGTATCGATCTGTGTATTAATTATTTTCGTAATGGTGGTGATTAGTGTACATGTGCAATGTAAGTAATATTTTAAAATTATTTCTCGTATAACTTATTATACGGTCGGCAAACCATATGTCGCGCCGTATTTAAGGGATATTTAAATGTTACCGTCTGTATTGGAAACTAAAAACATTATTGTGTAATAGATTGATGTCGATGTGTATATAGTACTGTGACCTCCGTGAAAACTATTCGTATGCTCATCCAGTGAGGGATTTGTCGTGGTCTGATAAAAATCCATTCTATGCACCCTCGCGCGAACCTCTGCCATCGTGACTCAAGTTTTACTACGCGATTGGGTCAAGTAGGGATTCACATAATCAACGTGTTTCTCGCCGGATAGAGTATAGTTTTTATGTTTTTTAAGGGAAAATAGGAACGGTGGAGTGTACGCGATGTTGATACGTTTCCGTTTAAATTTATTTTTTCCGATTATGATTATGGTTACGGTCCTTGCGCAACGACGAGTAACGTTTGTGAACCATACCCGTCAGATCTGAGCTGAGAAATGCTTTACTTAGATGCGAAATTAAAGTTTGTGGACCATAAATCTGTCGCTTCGAAATCGCCGGTCATTTATACTGTTTACTAGACGACTTCTATTAGTCGTGTTAAACGACTCGTTACCACCATGCATTTTTTTTGTTTAAAATGGAGATGTTCGAGTGGATCGTACATCATTTATTTTTGTGTCAAATGACACCCACCGGAATTGGGTACGTGTTCACGTGGAGGATTTTTTTCGTTTTATTCGTGTCATAAAGATACATACGTTATCTCGTTATCAGATTACTGATAGAAAATAAGGTTCTGTAAGATATAAGCGCCAAATGTATGTACATTTTAAAGAAAAACAATTAATATCAATCGCTTTACTATTTGTGATTAAAACTAATACAAATTGCCTAAATATTTATTTTATGTACCAAGCTATATTATATTGTACCGTATTTATTATAATGGCACGTACGTAATCTGTAATGTTATATTTATACAATATATTAATTGTGTATTGTGCATGAATTTGACTAATATTTTGTGGCGGATTTCAACGTTTTAATAGTTTTAAACCGATTACTGTGGAATGTGTGGCAGCGGTGTATATAATATGATAATAAAGTCTGCAGATAATCCTAATCCAACGGTGTGTCGTGTACAGTATTTTGTATTATAACATATTTATCAATTATAAAATCGGTTTGTTGCCGGAACGCATTTGGCCGACGCGTGTAAAGAGTTGATAATCGACCCGAAAAATGTCCGAACCAAAAATCGTGTCTCAGTGTTTGTTGTACGAGCGTGTTTTCGTTTTCCAGGAACCGCAGCCGTCGCCCTGTAAAAACGCAATGCAACAAGTTCCGACTACCGCTGCTGCACCCGTCGAAACCAGTACCGCCGACAAGTCTGATTTTGAGAACAAAACTCCTCATAAAAAATTCGTAAGTCTCCTCGCCGCCGAGCTCGCAATAAATGGTAACAATTATAATTGGGTTTTATTTTTGTTGCGCGACGCAGAGACGAAATCTGACCGAAGAGAAGAAACCCGCGACATCCGAGCCCGGCACGAGCGGCGGCAACAGCTCGAACAACGCACCCATGGTGGCGATGGCCGCGGTGGCGCCGTCATCTCCGGACGTGAAGTCGTCCAACGGGGACGGATCGAAGAAAACCAGCAAACGACCGGCCGAGGTGAGTGTGATGATCAACGGCGACAAAGATGATAAACGATCTATATAAATATATTAGCTTTAAGATACTTGGATAGGAATAGTGGAGGATACGCGTCCATTTAATCCGCGCGCATTTCCTTTTTCAGCCGGCTGAGATGAACGTGATGGAAGCGTTCGACCGGTGCATCGTCAAACAGTCGTCGTCGTCGTCGTCATCATCGTCGCCGGCCGTGATCAAGATGGAGGCGGCCGAACGGCCTTTTGAGTCGGCCAACACGGTGGCCGATTCTGGCGTGATCGTCAAGCGGGAAAAGCTGTCGCCCATACGCATTGTGAGTAAAAACGTCTTTTCTATCGCCAACTGTGTGGTGTAGGTTTCGTATCGAGTTACGTTTGACCGTCATCGTTATTGTTCATTCGCAGTCCGAGTACATACCCGAAACGAAGGCGGCCCTGGAGCAACCGTCGGCCGGCGGTGGTCCAGTGTCCGGAAGCGTCAAGATCGAGGAGGAGATCCGGACCAACGAGCCTATCGCCAACAACGCGGACGTGCCGATCGACGAGATCCTGTCCAATTCGAAAAAGAGCAAGCACATGCCCAAGTACGTGATCCGACCGGTACCGAAATTGGACACGGACGAGAAGGACAAGGATCCGCGGAAGCGGTGTACCACGCTGGTGCACGTGTTCAAGTTCCTGTCGGCCGAAGATCTGAAAAATTGTTCGCTGGTGTGCAAAGACTGGTACACGGCCACCATCAGCCCGGCACTCTGGAACCGCATGGATCTCACCGAGACCGCCATCACCCCTAAACTGATAAAGTGTGAGTATTGATACGATATAGTAATTCTCATTTTTGTATTTTTTAGATTCTGAACGTATTGAATTTATAATGACGAGTGGTTATTTTTTTGTAGTGTACACTATAAAAAATAATCTATAGAATGCTTCGGTTTTCAATTTTGAGGATGGTTTGGGATAACAAATTGGTTTTAGTTTAATTACCGATTAATATTAATTCGACAAAATCGATTTTGGTTTTTTTTTTTTTTTTGGTGGACCCTAAAATTAATAACCGTGGATTAAAGTTCTCAATAAATGGCTATAATATATAGGTGACCAATTTGCGGTTCGCGACCTTACATGTGGCTCTCGTCATTGTCAGATGCGGCTCGCGTCTCATTTACAAAATTGAAATTTACTTACTATTATGAGTTTTAATTTTTTAGATATCAGCCTATAAAAAAAAAAATCAAATTATCTAAAGTGAGTCTATACATATATAATAGTGAGTCATATTTGGCTCTTCGTATCATTGTATTTATATATGGCCTACGAACCTAATTATTTTGACCACCCCTTTTTATAGACTATATATTATATGATCTTTTTCTGTAAATATATATTTTTTTTATATTATTATCGATAAGTTTCATTCAATTTCACATAAGTTGTTTTTTTATTTGGTAAAAAGCTTCAAATATATAAGTAATTTAGTTATGAGTTAATTTGATATTAGAAGGAAAAACAAAATATATATATTATACTTGCTTAATATTTTGATGCAAATATTTAAGTGTTTTGGATAATTTACAATTTATAACTTAGATTTATAGTGTGGAAAAATGCACTGATTGCGATAGTGTTCCCTATTATTCGTTAAGGGTTTAGTGAAATTTGAGAGAAGTTTTTTCATAGTAGTTATTTATAAATATAAAATATTTATAATACGTAGACATAATTTATTTTTATAAGTATTTCAAGTCGAATTCGGACAAAATAACAAGTTTTTTATGCGTATAAATTTTATTTTCTAAATTTTTCGGTAAATAATATTTTTGCCCAGCTACATTATCTTATAGCAAAATAGGTATATTATAATAAACCGTAAAGATTGTGGGTGACTGGTTGAGTTCCAAGATAATCGTCCGTATAAATATAATGTCGTTACCCCGTCACCGTCGATAATTTGCTGGTAAAAAAAAAAAAAATAAAATAAAAATATCTATAGTGGAACTCGGTTTGCTGGTAAAAAAAATATAATAAAATAAAAAAATATAACGTTAAGTAGTAGAATTTATTACGATGATATTTACATTCGATCGGTGCGTTTATATTATTTAAAATATCATAACGTAAACAGTGTGGGCGGTAATGATGATAATATATCATAATAATATCGTCTGCAGTCGGCGGTGTTCGTCTGTCCCGCGATCGCGTTTCGAATGATCTCCGTGTTTCGTTTTGCAGACGTCATGGTCAGACAGCCCAAAGTGCTGATTCTGGACTGGTGCAAGATCACCAAGGAACAACTGTCGTGGCTGCTCGTCCGATTGCCGCAGAGCAAGGCGCTGTCGCTGCAGGGCTGCCCCTGGTCCACGGTGTCGTGCCTCCGGTCGTGCGTGTGCCCGATGCTCACGTCGCTGAACCTGAGCTTCGTGCCCACCATGGACGACGCCGCTCTGCAGCACATCCTGTCGCCGCCGCTGGACCACCGGCCCGGGCTGCTGGACCTGGCCTGCCGGCTGTCCAACCTCAGGTCGCTGAAGCTGGCCGGCAGCAACGTGACGGACGCGGGCGTCCAGACGATCGTCCGGGTGCTGCCCAAGCTGTCCATGCTCGACCTGTCGCAGTGCTACCCGATCACCGACGGCGGCGTGGAGCAGCTGACCCAGATGAGCGGGCTGTCCACGCTGCAGCTGTCCGGGTGCACGGGCATCAGCGAACAGTCGCTGAAGCTGCTCGGCAAGTGCAAGAGCCTCACGTACCTGGACCTCAGGCACACGAAGCTCACCAAGTCGTCCATCAACAAGTTCGTGTCCAACCGGGAGGGCTTCAAGGCGTTCGACAGCAAGCTCATCGTCAAGGTCGACAAGTCCTGATACAGGCTTGACGCTCCCGAACATTTGGTCTTCGGATTTTAAAACCGCATATCATAATTTCGGCGGCGGCGGCGCGCAGCGGTGCGTGTACATGAGAAAAAAAAAATTATTTATATTTTATTGTACACTGTGTACATAACATAATTCTACGTGTATATAATATATTGTGTATATATTTGTTTAAAATTGATAACGGTCGTTTCGTAAACGCGCGTACAGTATTATTAGTGTGTGTACGAGAGTGAAATAATAATGTGTATACCTTTTTTAACCCCCACACAAGTCCGTGTTTGTATTTTTTAAGACTAGGAATAAAACAATATTTCACGCGAAGTCGAGGGCGGTCCGTTGTCGTGGCGTGTGTGTGATGTTTCGTGACACGACGAAGGCGCGATCGAGTTGTCGCCGTGTTTTTTCAACAGATTCATTAGTCTCGTCGTCCGTGCCGCCGCGACACGGCGGGGATGTTTCCAGGTTTTTAATATTTTTTAACACGATATTTATCTCTATATATTTAGTATAGAAAAAAAAAATAGTACTCTATGTTATATCACGCTTATGAGTTATTATCATACGACGTTGTTTTTTGTATTTTAAGTGTCTATACATTATTATACTGTTATATACGCACAATTTATTATTACACACTTCTAGTAATAATGCTTACCATAATTTTATCTAAGTCGTCCGAGAGAGAGTAGTACGCGAGTATGCGCGCGTGTTTGATACGTATATTTTATAGTGGACGTATTGTGTTTTTACGAATAATTCTTTCTGATAATTTATTTTAAACTTACATTATATTGTAAATAATATAATCAACACAGAGTAAACAATAAACAATAAACGAACAGTAAAGAAAACATATTTTAATTTTTTTTATTTTTTTTGGTGATTTTCATCACTGATCCACCACCACTCCCGTCACCGAAGATGTTGTGTAATAATCGTGTAACGAAAATTGTGTTTATATTCTAATCGAATATAATATTATGATGACCAAGTGGATCTTTTTCCGGAGAGGATGGTCGTCCGCCAGCGCGTGTGGAAATTTAGAAGTTCTAAGGGGTGTCCAACCCCGCGGCCTGTGGTAGATGTTGATGTGGCCCTAACTTCGATTTAAAATGCATTAATGAATCGTATATTATATATTTATATTATCATTACGAGAAGAAAATTTATTATGAGGATATAAAACTATAAAATATTGGATTGCATTGAATCGAGTTCCGCAAAATACTGTAGGGTTATCGGAGTTAGTTCGACCAATATTGTTAGGTTATTCGAGTCGAGTCTCTTTTTTTAATAATTGTAGTCGTAAATATAAAGAGTCAAACAATTTAAAAAATAATAATAAATGAATGTACTTTTTACCTAGAGGATATTTTTTTATTGACAGTTACAGAAAAAAAAAATTGAAAATTTGTCATACCTATAAATATTTCAAAAAGAGTTAAAAAATGTTATCATAAATATGTATTGAAAATAACAATTTAGAAATTTCAAGTAGAGGTACCTACACACTTAACTTACATTATTTTTGAGAATATAACAGAATATTAAAAATTGTTCGAGAAGAAATAATTATTTTACGGGTGAATATTTAAACATACACTCTAATTTTCACTCCTAAAATATAATTATTAAGTATTAACTAATAGTGTATTCACAGAGTGTTCGGCACGACTGGTTGATTTTGAACGAGCATATACCACTGGGTAGTTGACGAATATCCATTATTATGGTTGCGTGTATCCGGTATAATATTATGATTGGCAAGGTTCTAAGTCGTCGTCGTCGGCTTTTTATAGGTAGTTATGACTTTTTTTATCAATATGGACTCGATTCAAAGATATTAAGATAATAAGTTGGACTCAATTCAATATCGAAAATTTTTTATCAAATGAAACATTAACAGTGTCGTCTTGTCTTTACTGGGTCCGATAGCAATAGCACCCGGGCTGGCACACATTAATTATTTGGGCTATCAGTCGATTTTGATAAGATATTTTATTACTGGAGACGTCGTGTCCACGGCATTGATCCGTGTCATTTATCATCAACAAATATATAATATATTATTATTAAAAATATTTAACATATTATTATTAAAAGGCGTGTGGCCCACAACAACTAACCCAGGAGCTGGCAATTAAATTCTATGGAGGTTTTAGAAAATCAAAAAAAAAAAAAATTTCGAGGGCCAGTAAAAACTAAAAACTCGGATATTAGTTAATAATTGTTGTATTATCGCAACTATTATTGTAAATAGCTATAAACGATAAACACCATCATCGTAATCTCTAAATAATACATCATAAAATAGATAAAATATATATTATGCGTGGAAAACCAGCATTATTAAAAAATATATTTATTGTGGTCCAATTATTTTTCCTTCGTGGGCCGCCTATTGCCGACCATTGAACTAATCCATGCGATGTGGCCCAATCTTCACAAAAGAGGTTGAATGACGTTTTTGTTCTTAAAGGTCGTCGAGTGCGAAAAGTCTGACGTGCGTCGTCTGCATCTCGCCGACAGTGGGACCCACGCTTGTTGTTTCGCCATACGTTTTACGGTATGATATTTGTACCAAATTTTAGGAATACGGTCTGCAGAGTCCGTCTACGTAATTATTTTACGGCTTGAGACGTATTGACGTGTAACGAATATTTTTCTTATCACACGCCAGGCACATAGGCGTAACTAGAGGGGGCGCTTAGTCCCCCCAACATAATTTTTAGGCCCCCCCCCTCTGTCATAATTCCTAGTCCCACACTCCCGCCAATATTGGTAACATTTTTAAACTTAAATTTAAAATATCGTTTTATTTTTTTTATTTAATATCTTTGAAAAATATTAATTTAAACTATATTATTGTGTGTAATGATCCTGTGTAAGACGTATCATGTTGTGTAATTTTTACTACACAAATACTCCCTACTAAGAAGTTGTCAATAAACTAAAAATCGTTAAATTCTTTATATCTAAAATAATACTTAATAATATGTTAACATATAAATATTTAACTTCAATACCACTTGGTTTATTATTTGTTTTATAATTAAATATTAATTTACATTCATATTATATGTATAATCAATGAATGTAAGGTGTATGGGGGGCAGAGCCTCCCACTTAATTTACTTATAATAAAAATTCTAGGGCTGAAGCCCCCCCCCCCCCCCTCCTAACTTTAAGGTCTAGTTACGCCTATGGCCAGGCATAACGTCGTGTTAAAACGTGCGGCCCTCGATTATTATTTTTAATTTGAGTTCCGCGGCCCCACCAGGTTTGTATTGTAATATCAACAGAGGAGAGAAAAACGAATAAATACAACTTGTGTTCTATCATTTAATATTTACTTATTTATTCAATTAATTTTAAGTACATATGGACTACTAGGAACCCACTGAGAAAACTTTGTGGGGGCCTAGGAGTTCCAAAACAAAATTATATAAAAAATAACGATTCTATTTTGTATACAAGTATAATTAGAATCAATTTTTTTTTTTTCATATTGATTAGACTAAATGAATATACAATATTATTAGTTCATCAAAACATTCCCATAACCATTGTAAAATGTTTTTTTCAACGGATAAATCGGCAAGGGTTTATTACATATTGTTGTGGTATTTTGTTACATAATTTGGTTCCAATTATATTTCAAAATATCTATCAGATGTGGTTTTATTTGAATTTATTATAAAATTGATTTTTGCGTGTCTTGTGAGTTGTGTTTACTCCTTGCAATATTGATTGTATTACAAACTGGTTTTTAAATATATCAGTAATTTTTAGATAGATTTTTTAAACTAGTAGCACGTTTAGTTTTTAATAATTTAAATTTGTTGTTTTTTGAATATATTCATTTTTTATTGAGGTGTGTTTTAATAATTTGACATATTTCTAACCGAGTTCTAGCATTATCGAACGCACTGCCCCAATTTAATATATCATAAAAAGTAGGTTATTGATTTTACCAATACTAAGTAATTTAAGTAATTCTAGAATTGCTTAGATTTTTTAATGTATAATTAATTTTTCTATATTTTTTACTACAACATTAATTTGGTTCTTTCACGCATAAATTAGTATATTACTACTGATTTCAATTCATAGATATTTAAAATTGTGTTCTTTATTTATTGATTCACAACAGTTTTGAAATTGTGTACAGTGGTCGTAGTAAATTTTTATATTTGTTTCTGTAGGTAACTATAATAATGCGATCTATCGAGGCATGAGAGACAACGCATGTTTTATCAAAACTCTTTTTGATTAACCATTTTTTTTTTTTTTTATTCATTTTTAATCTGATTTTAAAATATTAAATATCTCATTCCAACTGTATTAACGTTTTTTTATAATTATATTTTAGAGAGAGAGAGTGAGAAAGGTATGTTATGAGTTATGACATACGTATTATCGCATTTAATGCATACTATTTAAATATTTATGCACTTTTCCAACGATAATTGTTATAAATTTGTATACAATTTTTTTTTCTGATACATATTTTGTGCGGTTACAGTCAGTATTCTATATCCAATGCTTTTAGCCCCAACGATATACACTTATATGTACTTAGACGTTTTTATGCACTTCCGAGGTCGTCCACGACGTATTTGCTATTTCTTAGTTATTTTAAAACGCGATTTCTCGCATCGCGCCCGTAACTGTCTTTACAGGTCGGCGGTTTGCAGCATTCGTTACACACCACCCCTACCGCACGTCGGATACGATGAAGTCCGTGTGCACGACGTTCGCGTCCACTTCCACCGACGGCCGTAGCGCTACGTCCACATCATACTTCCGGTCGTACCTCTTCATGAACTCGATCAGATCGTCGTAAACGATGCTTTTCACGTCGTTTGCCCACAGGAAGTCCAAGTGATTAAACTCCGGGAATGGCATGACCTTCTTCTCGGCCACTTTCGGGAGCTTGCCCGCGAGAACTTCGACGTCCTGAAAAATACGCGTCGGACGACGATCATGTATAATAATATTACGACGTGTGCACCCGACGAAATGCAGGTGCGTGTGCAACTACTGGTCAACATAATATTTGCGGGAATCGATGTCATACCTCCACGGACGACAGCCAATCGTTTTGCGCGTGGTACAGAGCCACGGGCACTGTGATTCCGGTCAGGTCGTAAGCCGGCGGTTCCGGTTGTCCGTATTTTTCTATGTTTTTCTGTTTATTGTAGTTGTACTGCCCAAACCATTTATCTGTGAACATATTTTGTATAGATACACGAGACAATTTAAATCATTAAATATATTATATATATATATAGATATTATGATATGCGTGAGTTGGCAGTGTGTCGACTATATACAATCAAAATCGTGATTTTGAACACGTGGTCTGAGATTATACAAGATGATTCACAAAACATGCTCCCACCCATCGTCGTTTTATTTTTGAATAACGCATTTATTCATTTTTTATTTTGGAACCGAAATCATATTTTTAAATACTTTGATTTCTATACAGTTTAATGAGTGTCTCAGTGTGGTGATAAAGATCCTTCTTTTTTTCAATCGCGAATCACTGTAAATCATAATTGATCAAATGGGTTTTATTTTGCTCAGAAATATTTTTATATACCTATCTAGATCGCAATTTGTATGAGTAGTATTTATGAGTTGTTAAACTTAACGTGGGTGTTAAAGATAACATACAATAGTCCTTACAAATAATTGTATGTCAAATATAAAAATATGTAATAATTACTGTATAGCCGAGTATCCACATACTGAGTATGCTTTAGCAGTTTTTAAAATAACGTACATTTCAACTAAATAATTAGTGTCAGGTAAAGTTCTATATTTTCAAATAATCAATATTTATTAATTTATCAAACCTATATAATCATTGTATTTTATTATTATTGTGTAAATTATATATATTTCGTCTAAAAATTCAGTCAAATCGTTTAAATTTATATTTTTTATTAATTATTATAAAGAAATTATACAAAAAAAAAAATCAACAATACGCGTAGTCACAAAAATAAAATTGTATCGTCATCACAGTACACTTTAAATTGCATAGAAAATCCCAAACTTTGAAAATATTCTCGTAAAAAACTTGTCATTTTACTTTTGAATTCGAAAAATCAAAATTCTTATGTATTCGTGATAGGAGATAACAATGGGTGCAAGCATGAGTATGAACGCACAAATCTTCGTCCCGTGTTATACGATAATAACATGTGTATATGTTGAATGTTCAAATATGCTTATGAATTTATTTAATAAATATTACTGACCGCGTTTCATGAGTTGAGCGAAATGAGTGAGTTGACGTGCGGAAGCCCCGGCCGGAGTGTGTGCCAAAATTATGGGTAGAACGCTCTGAAACGATTTTACGAAGAAATGGGGTTTAGCTAGATTTATTGTATGATGCGAAATGATATATTTTTAACGTAAGCTATACTTAATTCTTTTCGATTTTGATGTTTTTCTAACATCTTCGTGTGGAGTATACTTACGCTGCAAATATTAATCAATTATATAACGTAGGTATACTAAATTCTGTGCTTTTCCATACCAAGTTGGATGTTCCATATCTATGGATTTTTAGAAAAATTTTCTTCTCCGGACTAAACAACTACAAAAAACTTGAAGCTTGGTATTATTTTATAAATGTTTTTATATAAGTACCTATTTTATTTAAAATGTATAGGATGCCTATTTTGAAATATGTAAAAAAATTGTTTAAACACAAGAAAACTGAGATAATGAGCGGCTCCCGGAGAGCAGGTTTGATATATAACTATTAATTTATTTATTTTTACGTATTAAAATATATATAATAATAATAAATAACATTACTTCGGGTGCGCATGCACGTACGTACTTTAATCAGACGTTTCGAGTCGTATCCAGCAAACAGAAACAACAAGTTATCGCAAACTCCTTCCTTCAGTGAGTTGGCTTCACAGAAAGCTTTTCCCGCGAACAGTAGAATTTTGCTGTTCGGCCTGAACTCGTAGTATCCCAGACTGTTGCACAACCACTGAAAATCAACCATATTTCCGTTGTGACTACGTGATTAAAAATTGTATAATACACAATAATATCGATGACGTAAGTACCAAAATATGTAATATGATTTTAGATAAAAGTATTATTTATTTCAACATAATACGCGTTTAATATGTTTATGTTTGTTTTTATAATAATTTGTTTTTGTACATGCCGATTAAATAATAATGGAGAACATAGGCGTAATTAGGGTAAATGTATGTGTATATATATATATATTATACATATGATATCGTTAATTTCATTTTTCTATATAATTTTGTGAATATTTACTCGTTTGTGATATCCTTGATATAAATGAGGTGATACAAAAATATTTTATCATTGACCACTTATAAAGTTCCAATTTAAATATTGTCAAACAATTACTAAGAATTAGATAAAACAAAGTATTTTGCGTGTATTAAACAAATTTAGCAATGTTAAAATTGGAATTATCGTGTTTTTATGTAATTATATGAATTAATAACAGTGTTATAACTGTGTATGTAAATATCATCAATATAGCCAGGACTTCAGTACCACTCTGCCACCAACTTAAATGCCTATAGTTACGCCCAGTGGCGGACTGGGAAAAAAAACGGCACGGGAAAATCATAATTTTAGAGGCCCTCAACAATTAGTGTTACATACTTATTAAATATGTTGGATAATATTTTAATTTATAATTTCATAATAATAATATTAATATATATTTTATTTGAGCAGCGGCCCATTGGGAAATTTCGCGGTATCTCGATCGTTCAGATCGCCTCTGGTTATGGAAATAAATGATCAGAAGGTAAATTTATTTTTTATTCAGCTTTGAATATTCTCATTATTGTGTAGTATTAGAATAATTATATAAAGATTTTTTTCATCTTTTTCCATTGGATTATGCCAACCACGTTTTCGATAATTTATATTGCTTCGCACACGCCGTACTTACTGCCAACGGGTCTGCCACGGATGACAAGAACGTCATGATCGGGCTTTTAACGTGGTTTAGGTAGGCGATCGGCGCCATGGCTGCCATCGACCGGACTTTGTCTTGGTACTCTGGTCTCTCCGAGCACAGGACGTAAAATATGGCTGTGCCCATGGAGTGTCCAACGTAGTTCAAGTCCGGTTCACCTGTCTTGTCTAGAATGTAATCGATCGTGTTAGGCAGATCGATCGTGCCCATCTCATGCCAGCTAAATAAATATTAAATAATTGTATTAACGACAAAACGAAGACGAAACCGTTTACGCGGTATAATTATAGGTCATCTAATAGATTATAATTTTATATATATATTTATATAGATTTTAAAGTTATTCACCTGAAATCCCAAAATTTTTCCGGTTCTTTCGCCGGGTCTAGGGTCACATGGTTTCTGGAATACGTGTTTCCTCTGGAATTCGCAAGCCACACGTCGTATCCCGCGTCCGACAATAGAAACGCTGAAAATAGTTAATAAAAAAAAACAACGAAAAAAATACATTAGATTTTATTTTGTATAATAATTTATAATGCGTTATATTTTATATAAATTTAAATCATCTATTTTTTTTTTCGTTATTAATATTTTATAGTTAAACGTAAGATTTTAAAAAGAAAATAATACTCGACCCCCTAAAACCATCCATAGAAATTTCAAAGCTCCTAAGTCCTAGGTAAAAGGTCTGATATCAAGACTTCGCTTATAAGTGCACATAACTGTAAGCTATTTTATACATAGAGAAGAGTTCTTGTGGTAGCCGGTAATATACTCACCTAGACTACTATTTGGTCCTGTAATCACCCAGTCCGTCGAACTGCACAGTATACCGTGTTGGACCAACACTGCCGGTTTTCTTGTGAAGGTCGTTAGGTCTTCGTTTCGGCTGTATGGTATCCTATGTAGCGTCAGATTGTAACCGTCCGTCGTGATCACCGTGTGCCTTTCCGCTGGATATCCTTCTTGTCTGATATAATCGTCCTGTACATAGAAAAGTAAGCATTTAGGAGGGATTCTTTACGCAGTCCCGCAAACATGCAATAGCAATGTATGTAATTCAGGTTATTTATTATTTATAAGTTATAACCAATGTTCAAAAGTAGAGAATAGTGAGGATACTCTATCCTAGTTTACACTTCATTATTATGCCCGATCGCACAAAAAAAATCCATACTTAAATGTATAAAACCGCTATTTATTTATCGGTCATAGTTGTAATATTAAATAAAAAATGTATATCTACCTATATAGACATAAAATATATATTTTATATTTTTTCTACTTCGGCCATTGGCAAATGATTTAAAACCTAACTTCAACATAAACAATTTAAAAAATTTATATTTGGCCGATTTCATATAAGTATATTTATTTTTTTACGTCATTTTTTATAGGAAGGATTGTCGTACGAATTTTAACCTTATGAGCATAATGTACATATTATATGTATTCGTAGATAGATTACGAAAAACAAATTATAAAGGAGTTGGATATGACCTTCCTTCTTGTTGGGTGGGTAAGTCTGCCATTGGTCACGTATAGATAGACTGTGGATCAAACGGGTAAACCAATCGATTGGATATAAATTTATACTGTCACTCAATACACTGATGGAACGAATGAAGATCACATAGTGTCATATTATACGATGCTTGGCATGGGAATTATTTTAATTTATAGGCTGACAATGGTTGTCGTATCAGCAAACTAAAATTTACCCTGACACATTGCATTTTATATTTGACATCATTTCCGTGCAAACTCATAAATAATTCAAATACCACTCTAAATAATGTAATTTGTGATCAACCCCGCTACGCACGAGTGATCGTTTTTGACTAAAGTATTGTAATATATCTATATAGGCTATATATTATTATTAAAAGTACTCGTATACATTATACCTACGTAGTTGTATCAGTTCATGTTAATTGCGACTCTTGTAGTCATAATGGCGAATTTACACAATAGCGCAAGTTGCTAAAAACATGTATTTGCATTTTATGTGTATTGCATCACTTTTTTATGAAATGAATTATATTATTTATGTTTACTTATAAGTAGGTATATGCGTATTGTGTATATTTCGATTATTTATTTATATTTATTTCTTGTTTTCGTTAAGACCACGTCGGCCTTATGTAGAAACATAATATTATAATATATTTATTAATATATTATTATGTATATGAAAGTATATTATTATATTTTAATATTACATAGATATTTGTGTTCCGTGTATATTGTAGAGATACTACGCCCATTCGGAGACTCATCGAGGTATACACGAAGTGCAGTATACAGTCGGCCAATAAAAACGGATCATATAACATTTATTTTGCTGTCTGATCGTGTAGTTTTTGGATTGCAAATACCTACGTTTTATTAAAATTTGATTTTTAACATAATATTTTCGTTTAATATATTCATATAGGCACGTAGATGTATAGTTTTGATGTTTCGATTGTCGATTTAGCCAATTGTAAATTCGTGTAATATATTTAATTTAGTTGATAAATGAATCTTTTTCGAAACGTTCTTTTTCCACACAAACGACCTTTGCCCTGCAGCCTTCTGCGAGGATTGCGCATTATGTAATCCATGCACGATGCACATGTAGGTACAATTTATTATGAAATGGAGACACGGCACATATTTCAATACGTCCAACATTGTACTTATTCGAATACCTATATCCACCGTTTAAATAAGTATCTATTTAATCTTACGTTCTATTCTGTATAATAGTATTATCTGCAGTGGGAATGGAAAACCATCTTTATGCTAGAGGCGCTATTAAGGTTTTATTACAAATGCTGGTGTGCTATTCGATTTCGCCCGACGTAGCTGAATATTAAACTGTATAATCGAATGACATATAGATACTGTACATAACTAAAATAAAACACAGTATTTATAGAAAAAAAAACCTAGTGTACCAATATTTGCTAATTCTATAGTCTGTATAATTGAGACTTAACGCGCTACGCTGTTGATCATTACCCTCAAATAGTTCCTATCAGCCCTCTGTGCGTGACTTATCTAATTCGTTTTAGATTTTATCTTCCAATCTACAGCAATACCTATATAGTTATTAACACACTGTAGTAGACAACTGTAACGAATATGTCTCGCTCACATGTTTCCCGATCAGTATATTAAGTATATTATCATATTACGTATTATTATACATAGACGACACATATAGCTATTTTTCAGCACGTTTAATGCACGTTTAATCAATCAAATGCTCTCAGATCGCAGACGGTAAAGAAAAATTCGTCGTCGTCGTCGCACGCAACAATGCAATTACTTGTATTTGAAATACAATAACATAATATCACGTCACATGATAATTATATTTATTTATGACGTGTATTTTTTTTATTATGAGTATTTACCGTTGGTAAGTATAGGTATACGGCGTAATTACTGCTCTACGACGACCACGGTTTGAGCAACGGCGTGAACGATTGCGAAAACCGCGGCGGCAGACCCAGAAGTGTGCGCATTTTCTGTACAGACACCTGTAACGATAGAATGTTGGTATCGCGGCGCGCGCGAAAGCCCGCTAAATTAAAAAAAAAAAAAATGCAATTAAACAAAATACGAAAAAACAAAGTTAAGTAATCAACACGCACCCGCGAGCGAACGTAACACCGTATAATAATGGTTTATATACCATGTACGAGGACGAGCGGATTTATAAGCGTCTTTTCAATCGCTCACAATTGTTGCGCAGCCGTAGATAGCATTTTATTGTAATAATATAATATTTTGTAGGTATATTACTTTTGTTTTATAGTATCGTCGTTTTTGTTTCTTCAAAAATACTTTTCCCTATTGTGCGCGGTCACCAAGTTATGGAAACAAATAAAAAGATTAACAATAATATTATTATCGTTACATACCCGCCGGCCATCGAATAAAATATATACATCGGAATTTATATTTCGTCAAAAAGTATTGAAACTCGAGCGACCGAACTCTGGTCTCCGCGTACTTCGCTCAAATCAATGTTGATTTAAAAAATCAACAGACCATTATTTATAGACGCACGTGACATAAACGTACATCAGGGACTAATACAACCCTTTCATGATACCTATCATCTTAACGCCTATACGCGTAACCCAAATGCATTATAAAATGATCTCACGCTTTACACCACCACAAAATATCTACTGTCGGTTCAGATTCCTATTTCTAATTGTATTACAATTTTACAATGAAACATTTTAGCAAATTAGAAATGATTTTGTTTTGAAGTTTTATTACTAAATGCGGTTTCTTCCACCCGTAATTCGTGTCATCGAGCTTTTTTCATCAACGTCTCTAGTATTGTTTACATTTAACAATCAATTGTGTAATGCATTTTAAAATATTTATTATATTATATTATAATTATAATATAACGTGGCGCAGGCCACGGGGTCGGTCGGCGGTGCCGCAGACGCCACTGAGTTTACTGATTTCTCGACGGTGCGCTTATCCGTAACCCCGTTCGTCAGCGATATCGGATAGTGGTTACTGGTAAACATTATTATAAACAATATACGAAGTATATTTCTCCTGTTTGTGTTTACACAAGTTCACGACATTCGTTTTCTGTTACTATATAACCGTCTTAACTGCAATTAGTATATAATCATTATTTGACAACCGGCGGTCATACATGAATGATATAATATAACAAACCAGTGAACTTATATATAATGCACTATTAAGTGTGTATATTACTATATTATATTATACGTACATTTTATTATAGTGCGTAGATGTCCGTATTCGACTGTTATAGTGTCATACGATGTTATACGTACGTTTGTGTGTATATACGTTTTAAAAATATAGGTCAAATGATGCGTAATATTAATTATTTACACGACTCGTTGTACTCAATGGGTCAATTAAAACTAATGGGCGTTCTTGTATTTTTCTAAAAACTAACCTGGGAAAATCACAAAAATGATAATCATTTCCATCCGAACAGCAGAATATACTATGTACATAGTTTAATGTTTAATATAAAATATTGTGTTAAAAATCAAATTATTATTACGAGTATAAGATTAATGATTAAATTAACGATAAAATTAATGTTATATAGATTAATGTACTTAGTGTTCCTAAATTTGCGCTGCAAATTAATTTTGCTAATATATAATAATATATTATTTTATCGAGTATTATATTATTTTTAGACGTTTTCCACTGACGTGACACTTTAGTAATAACTAATGTATACGAAAATATCAAATTCCTGTATATTAATGTGTATATATATATATATCATAATCGTTATTCAATGAATATAATTTAAAAAAAGTTCGTTTTTTACCCCAATGACATTCGTTGTAGTCAAAAGGCGTGCATTTGCTGATATGCTGTCTCCGAACCACGTTTCTCGTCTATTTCGGGTATAGAATAATGTGTATAATATAATATTTATAGTGAATGCCACTCCATAATGGTTTTTCGTTTTTCATTGCAGTGGTACACAATGTACATATCTAATGCATTGACGTATGTAAATATGCGCACCAACCATGCCTCGACGTTATGTTGACCGTACAGTATACAGAGATACCTTAATATTATTATTACGTGTGTTTGATAATTATTTTCGTTCCACGCGCAGACCGTTGATATCGCAATAGCGTGTGAAAAATCACAGTGTATTTCGTGTTATATACGGTTTCTCACGGCAAAATAATGTCAAAGAAAAAAGTCACGATCGCGCGCAGTGTATACCTACCATAGTACACGAAATAATATATAAACGTATTGCGTTTAGAAGGGTTATTGTTATTTCTACGCAATGCTGAAAAATACGAAAGATCGAGAGAGCAGCAGAAAACTTACTAATTTCGGGGCGTTTCACGAGTGGTTTGTATGGGACTCGACTCCTAGAGTCTGTATCTATCCAAGACCTACGAGAACGTCGAGAACACGAGATGGTTTAATCCGACTCTACGGAG